TGTATTTTCAACCGAAATATTAAACGTTCCCTAGGTCACTCCACTTTGAGTTGTAATATACCCGATTTCTTACTATGGGAAGAGAGATGCAGGCAGCAAGAAGGAACACTTGATTGCATGCGCTCAGAGACTCCTCCCACCTTCTTTCGGGCCTAGTGCTCCTCCGCACCCGCCTGTTAACTTGCCTATTATCCAGTATGAGACTTAATTTTTTTTCTATACGTATTTAGAGTCATAGGAGGATAGATATAACCGCTGTAAAAAGAGGAAGCCTCCGCGGCATCTCTGTGGTTCCATCTTATTGCCTAATATTCTGTGACTCAGAGTCTATAATTGGTACTAGATTTGTGGGCGAACGCTGCTATAATTTTTTGATATAGATCGAATGTTCGACATTTGGAGAGATCTATCAATGCCGAATACTTTTCTATCCTCCAACAGTTGCGTACTGTCGAGAGATAGTTTGATCACAGAGTGGCCATTTTCATTCATATTCATTTGGGATGAATTCATAACGATTCGCTGTCATTGCAATAGTATGAACAGAAAGTGCATCGAGAGTATCTGGCCCTTCAGAAACTGCAGTGCATTTCAAAAATGTAAGTGCAGTTTCATATACAAGGGCACTCATGAAAACTGCTGTTCCGCGTTAGGCTGATGTCAGAGTCCGCGATTTTTGCGCGATTTTCGCGATTTGCGCGACGGGTCACGGAAATCACAAGTGCCCCATCCATACTGCAAGGTGTTCTCCAATCCCGCCGTCACTTCTGCTTGATGGTTATGGTTTAATGGAGACTGCTCATGATTCCACTTGTTTCATATCCAGTGTTTCAATTGTTCAAATGGGGCACTTGCAATTTTTGTGATTGGTTTGGTTTGATTCCTGAAAAAAAGGAACGATTCAAGAGCATTTCAATGAACTAATAGACATTGAACATGAAACAAGTAGAACCACAAACATTCGTCTTCCAATCTTTACTGCCAAGCAGAATTCGCAGCAGGATTAAACAACACCTCGCAGTATTCATCGGGCACTTCCAACTCCTGTGATCCATCGCAGGTTTCGCGAAAATCGCGCAAATCGCGCAAAATCGCGAAAATCGCGAAAATCGGATCGCGGACTCTGACACCCGTGAGCCCTTAGGGTGATGGATTCACGGCTCGATACATGCTTTTATTGAATTCAGCATACTCCGAAGCAATAGTCCATCCAACTTCAGAGGTTATTATGACCTGGAAACATTTTTGTAAGAAGTTTGCGAAATCCTCCCGTTTCAGTTGTGTAAGGCTGGTGTCAGATTCCGCGATCAATTGCGCGAATCGCGCGGCTCGCAAAAATCGCAAGTGCATCTTTTGAGCATTTGAAACATTGAGTATGGATGACATACAATAAAGTAGGCTATCATATAAACAGAGTTCGTCAATTCAACTCTCATCGTCAAAAGCAGAGAATAGGTGTGGGGAATTGAGAGCACCATTGTAGTATTGACGGGCACTTTGAGTGCTGTTGATCGCGTTCGCGGGAATCGCTGCAGAATCGGATAGCGGTGCGCGGCGACATCTCAGTCCTATGAGTGCACAACTTTTCAGGTCAAGAGGCGTCTGCAGTATTTTTCCTTCCTGTCCTGGATTTCTTCCCTTCCTCTCCATTTGCGTTTACATGACCGTGATTAGCGAAAACACTGTATCTTTTTTTCAATTATTCTTTCGATCCAAGTTTTCCACCTGCGAAAGTTCGTGTGCAAAGGTGAAATGCTCCGTAGCTGTTCAATGTGATGAATCTCCTGGCTGTGTTACCAAGTTCATAAGGGCAATATTGTTGGAAATAACAGCGTCCGGTTAAAAGACCATATAAAAGAAAGCCACAAGTATTACTTCAATATGAAGTGGTGATATCCAGCAATCTCTTTTCAACTCTATCCGCCGGTCAGCCGGCATAGGCTTTCACTTTCAGCATCAGAATACTATCTGGATTACTGTCAACACAACCTCTATTGTGCGAGAGTAAACGATGAAGATCCCTTGATTGAACGCAAAACAGCTCGCCAGCCCGAGAACATGAGAGCGGATTGTTCAATAGATGGTTCTACAGCACGAGAAAGCACTTTCACTTTGGTGAACAGTTGAGACTCTGGCTTTGGGTTGTCTTTTGCCATAGAATAAGTTTATAAGACGTGCCGGATGGATATCAAAGCTGATAAAGTGATCTCATGGTCAGAAAAGATCTAGTGATCTTCAGTTGGGTAAACTTTGGTGGCGGACCGTATGGCCTGGACTGCATAGTGCGAATGCTGTACTCTCTCTGACTTGCATGTCGTGTGAAACGGACTCCAGGGACGATGAGATGTTCTTGCTGATGAATTACTATCGTTCTTATGGGAGGATCGCCGATAGGATTTCATCTTTGTTAACGATTGCGATACGATCCACTTCAACCGATCTACCCATCAACGGTTAGCGTCAGCAAATCAGTGTTATGTTGGAAGCATCCAGTTTAGATCAATTTTTTACATGGGCCCTGAGGATTCATTGTAAGGCAAATCTATGCTATTGGCTCTCGGCAAACTTGTGGAAGACCTCAGCTGTTCTATTAAGACATCGCGGTACCATCTGGATACTGTTCCTCTGCGAAAAGCACAACTTATCCAGACACAATCGAAGCGCAGTTGTGCCTTCACTAACCATAAGCATGCCTACATAATCGCAAATGAACTGAAAGGAAGAAGAACTCCTAATGTTGAACATCTTCCTTAGGGTGCCCTTATACTTTCTAAACAGGGGCGAAACGCAAAAAATCGTTTCCTGTCTTAGTGAACCGCACTCCAGTTTTTAAGGGTGCCCTCATACTTTTAAAACGCACTGTATATTGGATTTCGCGTCCTTGGGAATCCGTCATGGTGGTTTCACTGCCCTCTGCTAGCGAAAACATCTGACTCGTTAGTTTGGTTTCTTGGCGCCAACCGCCTATTCCATTGACTTTCTTGTCTTATCGACAGCATATGGAAATTTCTTGTCTTCGTAGTTTTTTTTGTTGCCCTCCCATATTGGCTAATGTTGAGAGAACTTCAATATCTTTCATACCAGGGATCAACTTTGCACATACGTAGCGGTGCATCTACCGTACAGTAAAGTTGAATTTAAAATGCAGAAGTTTCTCTCGAAATTCTCATCATCCGAGCCCATGCAAAGATTTAATGGGAGGTTCTATTAAAACATATCTACGCAGCGACATCATTAAAATTTACTTACCCAATTTCCGCTCAATTGGCCACATCAATTTGCATCATGATTTCTCATGTAATGGAACCGCTACCGCTACATGGTCAGTAGATGTGTTAGTTCGCTTATCTTATCACAAAGGCTAGTGCACACTTCCGCTGGATGTAGTTCCTATTTATCAACAGTGTTCTTCAATGCGGTGGATTTCTTTTCTATTTCCGCTTTGATTACAATCTTCAAGGTTACTTTTCCAGACGTACTCGTTAGATTATATCCTGTGTAGAGGATGCTTGTTCCCCGGCTTCTTCGGTTATCTCGACCGCTTATACATTTCTCTAGCATTCAGAATATTCACTTATCTCGAGGTGGGTTCCGTTCTTTTTCTTTTTGCTGTTTCGTTTTCAGTCACTCTCTCCAAATTGAGCAAGTGGTAAGTGTAAAAATAGCTGCTCTCCACTCCATGGCTTGTCATTCATGAGATGTCGGTCAGACTCTGCGATTGCATCGCGCGATGTAGTCGCTCTGCCTAGAGCGATTGCATCGCGCGATGCAATCGCAGAGTCTGACCGACATCTGAGAAAGGTTGCTCGAAATGAGGCGTGGATGCAATATTTTCTGACATGGCTTTCTTTCCGATCCCTCTGGCAACACTGTGCGCATCTAGAGATTTAATAGAGAATCTTCTTTCACCGACTCGGGCATAAATGGTGATGGAGAGAACTGCGGATAGGAAAGTAGAGAATCTTCAAAGAGAGTGCATATTAGGGAGAACCCTGTGGGTATGTGGAGTCTTACCAAGGAAATTTTCGACCCGAGCACTTGATTTCAAACCGTCAAGACATGCTCATGGCCTGTCACGGTCCTTGAGCGAGACACTTCATCGTGTCACATCGCTCAAAATAGGGACGTAAACTTGCAAGCATCACGGCTAAGGCTGGTGTCATAGTCCGTTGCAGTTCCGCTGATTTTCGCGATTTGCGCGATTTTCGCGATTTGCGCGATTCACGCGACGGGTCACGGAAATCACAAGTGCCCGATCAATACTGCAAGGTGTTCTCCAATCCTGCCGCCACTTCTGCTTGATAGTGATGGCTGAATGACGACTGCTCATGATTCCACTTGTTTCATATTCAGTGTTTCAAATGTTCAAATGGGCACTTTTGCAATTTCGCGCAAATCGCGCAAATCGCGAAATCAGCGAAACCTGCGACGGATCGCGGACTCTGACACCAGCCTAACTACCATAGCATAAACCTGTAGTATCCTTTACAACAAAGATTTATATGACTTTCAAGAGGCTTCGCGAATGTTGGAACATAGTTCTTAAAACACCAGGTTGGTCCCCTGTCAACCGCCGGGACCTTCCTTCCCTGCGTAAACTTTTCGCGAGGCGAAAAATCTACCGTCATGATATGATTACCGCAATGCCTCTACTACATGAAACTTCCTTTCGTTGCATACGCGTCACCTCCACGAGGTGTTGGTGTCACAGGTGGAAGGGACCACAGCGGAAGACATAAAGCTTACGCAGGGAAGGAAGGTCCCGGCGGTTGACAGGGGACCAACCTGGTGTTTTAAGAACTATGTTCCAACATTCGCGAAGCCTCTTGAAAGTCATATAAATCTTTGTTGTAAAGGATACTACAGAGATATAGACATACATACAAACCGACGCACCAAATTAGTGGTTTATAAAATAGAAGGATTAGATTGTTTTTGCTCATCATCGAATGCTCTTTTAATATTCGTTAGTTTTGTTCGTGTGTTCTGTTGTTTCAGAAAACTTGAAAATTCCAGGCACTCTTTTCCCCATAATTCAATTCAAACTTTCTGATATAGGAGAAGGAATAGCAGAGGTGCAAATCAAAGAATGGTATGTTTTTAAATTATTTTCAATCCATTTCTGTGGCATTTCAAGCGGCATTTTCCAGGCACGTTAAGGAAGGTGACACAGTTTCGCAGTTCGATAATTTATGTGAGGTTCAAAGTGATAAGGCAGCTGTTACAATAACTAGCAGATATGATGGAGTTATTAAAAAACTGTAAGCTTGTTTGATGTTCTTATGACCAATTTTTGCTGAATTGTAGTAAATAACTACACTTTTAGGCATTATAAGGTCGATGATGTGGCCCGAGTAGGTCAACCATTAGTGGAAATTGAAGTCGACGAAGCAATAGCCGCTGAGGAAACCTCCGAGGAGCCCAAGAAAGGTGATGCTAAAAACGTTACTTCTCAAACAGGGGCATTTTATTCTCATTGTCCGCATTTTTCGGGG